TTCTAGAAACTTATTACCTATTCTGTGGCGGCCACGTGGTATTATTTCATATAATGTTGCCACTCTCACTGGTACTTCCAAGCTCAAAATGGAGGGATAGTATTTCAGGGTCCAGCTTGTCAATGTCCGTGCGGAGGATCACGGGAATGATGAATGATGCATAAGTCGGACCGTAAGGTTGTCTAGTTCATTCTATGGTGTCTAGACTAATGGATTGTATGATTGTTCTCTGGTCCCCTACCCCTGGCTCTCCTCTCTTATGTGGCCAGTGTTTCCACATGTCACGTGATATTGGCACGTGCATAGACTGACACACCCCCGATCTGGTCGCCCATGCTACCAGATCTTACTCAGTCTATCATCTACTCCTTATTTATAATCCTCAGCGTCTCCTATCAGGTGCCCGATTGCCCTAAGACCACATGCCTCTCTGAAGCTGTTGAACTTGATCTTTGGCAATGCCTTCGTCAGTCCATCCGCTGCCATCATCGCTGATTCCACCCAGACAACCTTAATATGTTGTCTTTGCACTTCCTGACGCAACCAGTGATTGTGAATGTCAACATGCCTGAGGCGTGTATTAAGTACAGCATTCTCCTTCACGAGTAGACTGATCGTTTGCTTGTTGTCACACTGGATTGTAAGGGCAGTATCCAGTTTCTTATCTAGCACCTTCAGTAACCTAGCCATGAACATTGCTTCCCTTGCAGTTTCTGAGATAGCTAATAGTTCAGCTTCTGTTGTCGATGTGGTCACTGTTGGTTGCTTTGTTGACCTCCATGCAATTGCTCCACCATAGAGGTGCATTATCCATCCTTGTGAGCTCTTGCGATCAGTGTTATCTGCATAGGATGCATCACTGGCTATCTGCCATCCATCACTTGTTCGGTTACCGTCGTACTCAATCGCGATATCTCTTGTGTTCTTCAGGTAATGCAATACCTGGTCTGCTGCATCTTGATGCGTTGGTCCAGGCCGAGTATTATGCTGGGCGAGTCTTGAAGCTGCAAATGCGATATCTGGTCTGGTAATAACAGCCACGTATTGGATTGACCCGATCTTTCGTTGGTAGCCTTTGACTTCTTGTCTGCTTGGCTCATCATGGTAGATAGGGAGTTGTGTTTGGCTGATCGGTACCGTAACTGACTGTCTAGGCTCTTTGCTATCAGCTAGCTTGAAGATCTTGTCAATATAAGATGCCTGTGACAACCATAGCTTCTTCTGTGCTCGGTCTCGGATTACATGGACACCAAGAAACCACTTGATTGGGTCTCCACCAGTTAACTTGTATCTGGTCCTGAGATCTGACATGATCTGATGTGTCTTCTGTTGTAAGTGCTTTGGGTACAACAACACAATATCGTCCACAAAGAAGAATACGATAATCTGACCATTCATCATCACGCATGGTTCCTGTGGCACCCTTTGGAAACCCATCTCTTCGAACGTCCGAGTCAGGTCTTTCTGCCATAGCAGTGGCGACTTGCGGAGCCCATACATCGCCTTCTTCAGGCGATAAATTGTTCCTGGTCGTGCATAGCCTTCTGGTGGATACATGAACACCTCTCGGTCTAGGCTCGCGTTCATAAAAGCATTGACAGCGTCCATCTGCGCGGTTTCCAAGTCATATTTTGCCGTCAGCGCCATTAGGACCCGAAACGACCGTGCAGCTAATGTAGCTGCATACACATCTTCTGCTGTTTTTGGTTCCATATCGCCTCGTACCACCAGTCTCGCTTTGAACTTGGCCAGCCGACCATCCTGATCAGGTTTATAGGTATAGACCCACATGCTGCCTAGCTTTACACGATCTTTTGCTGAGTCTTTTGGCACCTCAACGAAGCTGTCAGCTTGTTGGTGAGTCTTCATATGGTCATGCTCTGCTTGCTTGAATTCCTTCGCAAATCGGTGTCTCAGCATTTCTCGTCGATTCCTTGGTACGGGTGGTAAATCCTTGATCAGCGGAGCCTGGGCGGTTGGGATCTCTCGATCCTCGTCTTCATCCAAGGTGAGCATAGCTATTCTAGCGGCGATATCTTTCTTGCCTATCATCCGCCCAGCATAGAAGCTACCTCGGAGGGTATTGTGTTCAACATGTTCGAACCCTCGCTCACTCTCATCCTCTCCTTCCATGGTGTAAATTGTGGGTGCGGTGCTTTCTGAGTTGGCGACTGATATTGTGTCTTGGCTAAAAACGCTTCCTTCACTGACATCACTGCTGGCTGATGCACTTGGTTGCATCTGTTGCAGTCCCGCTATGAGTTGACTTATTGGGTCTGAGTCCTCAGTGTTCGCATCCGATGGTACCTGATCTATCCAGCCATTGGGCAATTGCCAGATGTTATTGAAGACGTCTTGATCAGGTATCCCGACCACCTCAATGACTTCGTTGAGTTCTCGCTCAGTTTGTGGGTCTAGCTTCTCAATCCTGCCATCAAAGAATTGAGATTCATCAAAGATCACATCTCGGACCAACTTGATCTTGTTGGAGTGGGGTATCCAGATCTGATAGATGTTTGAGGCAGTGTACCCAATCAGGTACCCGATATCCGCTCTAGGGTTGAGCTTATAAAACATTTTGCGTGTTTTCTTTCGGACGTCTGCAATCATGACATATGCCTTACATCCGTACGCTCGCATATGGTTGATGGATGGTTTGACCCAGTCTCCTTGTAGTCCAAGATTGACCCTTTGCATGTTGTACACCAGTTCATATGGTGTCATCCATTGATTTTGAGCTCTTGGCAGGCGATTATGGATGTAGCATGCTGCCTCGATATATCTCGGCCAGTGTTCCTCTGGCAGGTTTGCATGGATCCTCATGGTTCGAGCCATCTCACCGATTACACCCCCTGAGCGTTCTGCTAGGCCATTCTGTGCCTGTGTGTTTGGTGCAGAAGGCTCAAATTTTACACCATGAGCTCGAAACCATGTCTGAATGATGTCTGCCATGAGTTCGTTGTCACTGCGTACCTTGCGCCATCTGACCTGGAACTGGGTGTTGACGTAACAGTATGCGTCGATCATGGCTTCTAAAATTGATCGCGCGCTGTCTGTCGTTAGCATGTATGGCATGGTGAAACCTGAGTCCCTGCATGTGATTAGAAGGTATCTCGTATAGATCCGATTCCCTTGCATGGGGTGCATATCCACTGACACCTCGTCGAATGGATGTGCGGGTGGTGCTCCAGGTTCTGCCCTTGATATCTGCGCACTTATCTTTGATAGTGCGCATGCTTCACATTCAGTTGTTGTAGGACCCCGAATCCTTGCATTTCGAGTCGCTGACTCCAGTCGTTCTAGTGCTTGCGTGCCTGCATGTCCCATCCGAAGATGCCACAGGCGACCTTCTGCTGTTGAGACTGGTCGCGTATTACCTTGATGCTGGGTCCTGAACGTTGTGCCTCGAGCACCCCCTAGTTTGTCTTCAGGAAGATGGAACTCATGAATCACAAACTGGTCATGTTTATCAGCTACTCTATGGATGCTTGATCCATTTGCTTGTCGTAGCATCATCCTGTAGCTGTCAAAATAGATGCCTGCGCTCATCAGCTTTCTCAGTGATGCTAAGTTGGTTGGCATATCTGGACAATAAGCAACTTCTCTTAAGTTGATGTACTTGCCACTCGACGTTGGTAGTCTTAAAGTACCATAACCTTTGATCTTGATGTATCCGCCATCCCCAAGGAGGTACTCTGGCTCACTCAGCTGGTGGTAGTCTTTCAGATACTCAAGATCATTAGCTACATGGTCTGTACTGGCTGAATCCAGTAATACTGCTTGTCTCAGACCTGGGGCTGGTGAGACCGTGAAGCTCATGCCTGTTCTATATCTAGGCCAAGGCTGCACGGTTAGTCACCTATCTGCCTTACTATCTTCGACTGATCTCAGTGCCTTGCACTCATCATCAGGTGGCATAGGCATTCCGAGTCTCTTTAATTCTCTGATAACCCTTTCGGTTTTCTTGTTTCGAAGCCAGATACTGCGTCTGAACTCCAGTGGCTTCCATTCTTCTGACCTCTTCTTTGGGTCAACGAAGAAACAGCCTT